ATGGCAACATACCTATACCACCACAACCACCATCTGCAAGAGGCCACAACCTAGGACAGCATGGCAACATACCTATACCACCACCACCACTACCACCACTACCACCATCTGCATACAACATACCTCTGCCACCACCTCTACTACCTTCTGCAAGAGGCCACAACCTAGGACAGCATGGCAACATACCTCTACCACCACCTATACCACCACTACCACCATCTGCATACAACATACCTCTACCACCACCTCTACTACCTTCTGCAAGAGGTCACAACCTAGGACAGCATGGCAACATACCTATACCACCACCTATACCACCACCAGCAAGAAGGAACAACCTAGGACAGCATAGTAACATACCTCTGGGTCCCCCAACACCACGCCCTCCTGTTTCCAAAAGAGATCTAGCCAATGCTTATAAAGAGATGTGGGAAAATGCCCACAGCCTTCTAATTGATAAAGATTTGCAGCCTGATTTAGTGTTGATAGTAGACAATATGCCTATACATGTTCATCGAGTTGTGCTAATATCAAGGTCGCCCATGATGGCAGCAATGTTGGATGGAAATTTCAAAGAAAGGGATCTCAACACAGTAAGTAAAAGATCAGACGGCTGGTTATTGATTTACGTATTTTTGTAGCTCGTACACTATGAAAGGGAATTTGAATGAGATATAGGGCAATTTATTTCAAGCCATTGCTTTGGGTACTATATATAATTCAGTTGATCTGAGAAAATATGTTAGCCAATCAGAATCGAGAACTTTTCCAAAACTGAGGTGTCACTTTTCCTCATGAAATTGTGGATTCCCAGGTCAACCAAATTATTAATAAACGTATATATTATTAAAATAAGCGCTTGATAACAACGGCACAATAATTATGAGTTATATATTTTTATTGCAATGGTGAGCATATTTTTATTTTTGGCTGGCCAACGTTCACAGGCTTAATGACACCTCAGTTTTGCAGTGACGTCATTTCTAATCTTTTTTCTTGAAGTTTTGCCGAGTAAATGCAACATGTTTCAAAAAGGGAGGGGGCATATGCGGAAATGAGACCATTTTATGATGGGATGACCAGGAACATTTTGTGATAATATATTCATATTCCACCGCAATTCATTTCACCTTATATTTTCTCAAGAAAACAGGGGGGGAAAAGGGATTGCCTTTTACCAATAGTAGAGCTAGCGCTAACATTGGCATATTTCATTATATTTTTACATTAGTTTTCTCTTGCTTCTCCAGTTCTTTTTCCTCCGCTTTTTTTTTTTTTTTTTTTTTTTTTTTTTTTTTTTTTTTTTTTTTTTTTTTTTTTTTTGAGTATAAATCATATCAATTTGAAATATCATTTAGTTTACGCTATTTCATTTCCTTTTCGTGCGCGTACATATGTTTCCACGATCTTAAACCCTATTCTTGTTTGTTAACAGGTAAAACTACCTAGCGTTCCCTTGGAACATTTTCGTACACTCCTGGAATTCATGTACTCAGATACTTGTGCTCTAAATGAAACCAACATCAAAGATATCATGAAACTGGCTGACAGGTTTGATTTGCCAAGCCTACTTAAACGCTGCGAAGAATACATGATATACACACTCCTTGACAACACTTTCACCAAGGATTTCGTAGAAATGGGACGAGATTTGGTGATGGACACCATTTACTTTTCTGAGGTGAATGAACATTAATGCTGAATCTTATTCTAGTTTTGCATGGTCACGGTAAAGAATTCACCAAGCGCGCTGCGTGACATCAATGCTCATCCAATCAAAGTGCCCGGCCGGACAAACACACAGGGTCTTAAATTAACTGTGAAGAAAGTGCTGCCTTTGTAGCTACATCTACAAATAGTTAGACTTTCAAGTGGCTTTGATGACCACTTAAAAGCGCCTTTGATTATATTTACATAGAAAGGGGGCTATATAAATGATAAATCCTTATTACTATCATTATTATGACTTCACTCGCAAAGTCAAGGTAGGGTACGTCTAGACCTTCAATGCGCAGCTACTCCACAAATGATGCCCACTTCTATTTAAACGACCATTGCATTCTCCTGGGTTAGCCGCTATTTTTGAGATTCTTATGTAAACGCAATAGGCTCCTTTTCTTTCTTTTAGACCTTCAATGCGCAGCTACTCCACAAATGATGCCAACTTCTATTTAAACGACCATTGAATTCCCCTGAGTTAGCCGCTATTTTGAGATTCTTATGTAAACGCAATTGGCTTCTTTTCTTTCTTTTAGACCTTCAATGCGCAGCTGCTCCATAAATGGTGCCTACATTTCGTCGCAACAAACTACGATCTTTTTGAACAAGAAGAAGACTTTAAAGCTATATGGAGCCAAAACGCAGAATATATGGAAAGCAACCAATGGCCGTCACGAAATTACATCCAAGTTCTAAAACAGTACAAAGCATCAAGAAGCAAAATTAACGAAATTTTAAGAAAAAGAAGAAGCAATACGACCAAGTGCGCTTGTTGTATCATGTGAAGAATGTTATGTATTGGACATCGGTGGAAATATTTTTCATCATTTTTTTTACAGAAACTAAAAAAGAGGGTGGTGCCACTTTATGGCTGTCGCAACTGATTAACTTGATGACATCAATGAATCATCTCTTTTAGATACGCTAACATCAGTAGGGGACCGCCATTTAACGCGTGGTCCGTCATCCGAGCCATGGCACCTTCTACTCAGATATTTTTAAATTTCCTGAGTGTTGTCCGACCGTGGCTTGAACCTGCAATTTCCGATCTCCCAATAAACTGAGCCTGCAAAATCACGGGCAGGGTCACGGTACGGTGTTTAACCAATCACGATACGTGGGATGATGACAGCAGCTCATCCAATCACAATGCTTTTACTGAAATTAAAATGTATTAGAATTTTTTCTTTCATTTTTTTAAAACGAAAGGAAAAATTATAGAATGCAAACACTAAAAGTGTGCAACATAAATATCACTAAATAGTGCTATTTTATTCTAATTCTATCGTTTTCTTTAGTTTAATTATTGCTATTTACTAATAGTGATAACTATTGTACACAATAAGTGTTTGTACTCTAATATTACATTTTAATTTAATATTAAGAGGAAATTCTTTTCAATAATGAGCAATAATGCATGGCAAAATGAGCCAAAAACTAGACTTTCATATGAGTTTTGATCCCAATTTTCGTTTTGGGTTAACACTCAAAACCTTTTTTAAACAGAAGCTGATGTACTATGTTAAAATGCCTGTTTGAAGCGGTATTTTCAATTGTACAAAGATGTTTTGTGTTTAGAATGTTGCTTTGTCATGCTTTTTTATAGAAAATATATGGGAAATAAGCAAATGAAGGCCTAAACCTCATTTTCGAATAAAATTTTTCTTTGGGTTAACACTTTGATTCCACTTTCATCGGTCATCTCCACTTTCAAACAAGATGAACTTTCTGAATAACAAGATTTTAGCTTTGTACAACAGCCTTTCTTCAAGAAAATAGTTTTTGGCGCTCACCGCTTGAATACGAAAAGAATTCTCTTTAAATTAAAATGTATTATTAGATTTTAATTTCAAAGAGTAAAATTGTTTTTATTGTCTATCTATCTTAAGAAATATAAGAAATATATAATAGTGAATGAAATGAGAAAAATTGACATCCATGCTATGCCATTGCTTGGAAAACATGGTTTCTTCTTCAAACAATACCCAACTCCCAAATAATTGTATCTTACCACAGATATTTTGAAATAAATAGAAGAAAAATTAAAGATAAAAACGAGAATTTTCTGGAACACTTGCTGTAGACAACTTTATGATATAATCAACAAAATTACTCCATTCTGATTGGACAAGAGGAGTACAATTGAATCCCAAATTCTTATATTTGCTCTCTCGAATACATGACAAAGTTAGACAAAGGACTGAGCCGTGGCTGAAAGTCAGGACGTTTTCTAGTGGAATTATGCAACTGCAAAAAAGTTGCCACCAAGAAATTGCTCATAGCAATTAACAAATGTAAACAACTCATGCCAGATGCCACGAAAAAGGGTCAGATGGCGTTTCAGCTGAAAGGCGTTCACTACCTCAGCGCGCATGTGTCAACATCACAGTTGAAAGTCACAGGGAAAACGTACCCTGTTTCAACTGAAGTATTTCATTGACGCATCACATCCATTCGGAGAATACAGTCGAAGCTCTCGTAAGAGACCACCTCGGGAAATCGAAAAAGTAGTCGCAAGTAGAGCTGTTCGCTTACGAGAACTGCTCGACTCGTAAGCGACCACGCGTTAGAACAATAGTGACGGTCGCTTACAGGAGCTTCGTATCACAAAGTTCGTATGGGGATGCAAACAGAATACACTCATGAATGACTTGTTAGTGCGTTAGTGCTATGCCTCCAAATTAATTGGGATAGGCTGCTGAACCGGGAGGCAATTTCCTCTTCTTACACGAATAATTCAACAGGATATTTTATGTCCACATCAGGACTTCAGTCTCGCGTTTTTTGTAAACCTGCGTTAACAAACCATGCCGCCCATTTAGGAAGGGTTGGGAGACAGGACCTATGGTTTAAATTCCTTATCCGAGAAGGGTGGTTTGCGCTGTTCGATGGATAAATCATTTGGATAAAATGTATTGGATAACAGCATCCACTTATCAATTTGATAAGGATTTATTCATCGTATAGCGCTAGTGATCCACTCTTCGTACAACCGGGCCCTGATCGGCGATATTTCACGGCACAGCGCACCGGGTTTTTGCTGTAAAATGAATCGACGCGATTCACATTTACAGTTTTATTGGCAAAATGCGTTCAATTTTACAACTGACATCAAAATGAATCGAATTATTTCACACAAAGGCTCTAATTCTATACCTATACATGCCTCGATTCGCCGACTCTTCTCATATCAAGGTTGCTAGGGGAAATACTTCTTATGGGTAATGTTTTAATTCAATTCATATCTCTAATCAAATGGTTCAGTGATCAAACGTTTTCAAGCTCCCCTTCTCTTAAATTTTTCTCCTTTTTTACTTTCCTTCTCTTGTCTTTCAGTCTTCTCTCGTTTTCTTGTTTTTTTTTTGTTTTTTTTGTTTGTTTTTTTTTTGTTTGTTTTTTTTTGTTTTGTTTTGACTTTCCATTTTTCCAGCTGTATTGAAAATGTGGCTGAAACATTAAAAATATATACTTTTTCTTGAGATTGAGATATTTATTTTCCCTCTTTTACAGCTCGTATTCGAACATAATTGCCTTTGAAGTTCCGTAATTGCGCTAATCAGTCAATATTGAAAGTATTCCCGCAATCTTTTGGGCTAAAAAACCTAGAACCTTTTAAAAGTTTCATTCAAAAAGGTAATGATTTCCATTTTCTATATAGCTATTATTACAGGTGTTTTCATGTTGTGCAGGTTTTTTCAAGATCCTGTCTTTAATAGCCCGAACCAGCTGTATCAATATATAAACCAGATTATTTGATCTTTCCTAATGCAGGACGATTAGATGACACAGAACTACTACTGACAACTGGTACATTGTTTTTTCCAGTTTTGAGCATTCATTATTGAAGTAAAATAATATTATTTGCGGGTAAAACGGTGGTAATATAATATAAGCAGGGCCGAGTGAAAGAGGCGGGAAAAACCTTGACAATGAAGAGTGGCAAGAAGCCAGGAAAACGGATTAGAATAGCATGTTATCTTACTCAAAATACTGAATGTTATATGCGGAAACAGATCGAACTAAATTTGGGATGCTTGGTCGAAATTTCTTGGTAAAAGTAGCATGACTGACACATGCCGTGTCGTACGCGACTCTCAAGTGGTTCGCCCTGACTGAAGCCAAAAAAGGAGTCTTGATCCTTTTCCTGCAAGTCTCCTACTTGGACATTTTGGTGCATTACTGCCTACTATATGTGAAATCGTTAACCTGTCACTTCAAACTGGTGTTGTTCCATCTTCTCTTAAAGTTGCTGTTTTAAAACCGTTACTGAAAAAACCATCTCTTGATCAT